CTGGGACACTTCAGCTGTAAATTCCTTTAAGGGAATACTTGGTTGCCAGGGCTACAGGTTCTCATCTTAACCTGTCAGCCTCCCCACCCCCTGCTCCAGATCGCTGCGACCCTGGGCTGTCAAGACTGGGCCCTTGAGCACTCCCCCCTTACTTATCCCCCACTAGCAGTTCCAAAGTTCGAGGTTGGATGGGGAGGATTAATCCCTCTTTAACTCCTCTCCTTCCCGCCCTCAATTCTGAATCCCAACGGATCCGTTTCCCCGCGTTTCATGGTGAATGGGAGCGTAGGAGCCGCCCTGTCCAATAAAGATTAAATTAAGTAGAAGAATCCCAGCCGCTGGATATGTGGAAGCTCCGGTGGGGCGTCAAACCGACGTTTAACACATTTTTTCCACTCACTGTGCACAAATCCTGGACCTGTTGGGCTTAACTTTAGAAAGGAAGGAAGACAGAAAGATAAGGATGAAAGGAGAAAAAACGCGGGGAAGAAGCCAAGACAGAACGTCTCGGAGAAAGCCCACTTTTAAGGGGGAAGTGGTTTTGCACTCAAAGCGGCTGAAGACAGGGTCGAGGCGTTCAGCTATTTCCAGGCTTCTTTCTCTGACCATCAGGGAGGCTCCTTTCCGGGAGCCCTCAGAGGCTTCGGAACTTGCGGGCTGACTACATTAGTATCTTGGAGATGGGGTGGTGCCCAGGGTCATATCTGAGGATCTGAGATGAGAGCCTCAAACACAATCTAGTTGCTTTTCCTATGTTGCCTTATTATTATTATTTTGAATTCAAGGTTTCAGTAACACAAACTAAACAGTGTCCTCCAGTTGCTGCCCAGCAGGAGAAACAATGGATTTCTCGAGAGGCGTTCAGCGCATCGGACACTGACCTTGTAGCTGAGACCAGGCCAGACCCTCCTAGCCAGGGAGCCAGTCCGGTTTTTAAAATATGGGTTCCTTACTCCCATCTGCTTCCTAGTCCCTGCTCACACCACCGTCAGGAGGGGCAAAAGGCAACTCCCCCCGTGGCAAGGACTCGTCCATGCAAATGCAACACGGAATAAATTAACCTCAAACCAGCTAGTTGGGGTGTAGTAGTTTAGCAGGACTAATTGCAGACAATGGAGCTGAAATGACTTTTCCAATTAGCTGCTGGTTGGAGTTTAGTTGGAGGAACTGTCAGCTCCAACGATGGGTAATTGCTTTATTGCTCACAAAACTATCATCTATTTAGAACATATGTGCTAATTACTCTGGATGGGCGTCGAAAAAGAGACCATAAATCTAATAGCACTTTAAAAAGTCTATGGTGCTTGTAAGCAACCCCAGTCCCTTGCATATTCGCTCCTGCTCAGGTTGGCCATGATAGATGGCTGTCTTTTAGGAAAGCAAAGGTTTGTACTTGAGGCGCCGACAGGATGCTCTGGTCAAATCGCGTGCCAGAGAGCTAGCGTCCCGCGCCTGCTGTGCCGGGGCGATAAATCACTGTCATCAAAACTGGTCCTCTCCTTAGCTGCGCACTTTTTTTTTTTCACTTTCGCAAAAAAAAGATTACCTCAGAAATCTTTTAATTGGATTATACTGGGAAATTAATCTCCTTTAGCCTTGGCTAAATTTATTGTGGCCAGCGTCAGGAGGAAAGCCTCACACCTGCAGAGAGGGCCATGGCGCCTTGCTCTCTGCGTTCCTGCACCCTCCAGGGTCTCCCAGCTGCGTGCGTGCGGCAGCCCCAGCTCTCTTTACCTCCCGGTGGTTGGGGTGAGGAAAGGTGAAAACACGTCTGGATGGACAGCCAAGGCTGACCCCAGTGAATCCTCTCTGTCCGGAATGTCACATTTTGGTCCCGGATTCCCTAGCCCCACTTGCGGTATCTCTACAGGACCGCGCCGCCATAAATTTGGGGGTTACTGGACAAGGAGGCTAACGTGTGGGAGGAGGCGGCGGGATGTGGCTAAGGAGGCCTATTAGCCAAATCACTTTTCCCTCTTTGAATCTCAAGCAGAGGCTTGGGGCCTTGGAACCCTCTCCACTCCAGACTCTAGTTTTCTGCCCTAAAACCGCGCGGCTTACTCTTGGGGTCTTCCCAGATAGGGCCCTGCCTCCCGCATCTTCCGGGCTCCTCCTCGAGCCCCCGAGCATTGTCAGGCGGCGCCTTCCCATCCTGCACCAATGCCCTGCGCATGCAGCTTGGCCCTCGGGGGCTGGGGTAACCTCTGGACGCGGCGGGCCTGGCCCAGCCGACCGCGCCGCTCCGCGGGAGGTGACAAACATCTGCCTGCAACGGGATACCTACTTTTGCAGCTCAATTTAGCTCTTAATAGCAGCCCTCTGAGGTGTGGTTAATTGATGGGGATAAAGGCGTAATGACTTGACGAGGAGACGCCAATGATCCTTTAATATACTTTTAAAAGAACAACCTCCACCGCAAACACCGGCGAAGCACTGCTCGGAGGTGTGTGTGTGTGTGTGGATTGGAGGAGGGGGAGTGTGTGTGGGGGGGGGGGGGGGGGGTGTGTGGGTTGGGGGGGGGGGGCAGGCTGGGATCCCAAGGCAGGAAAAGCCGCTCAGGCGCTGTTTCTACCTGGAGGCGTCAGTGCGGGGTGAGCCCTGGCTCGCGGGACTGGGCTCTCAGGAGCCGCCAGGCACTCAGCTTAGGTTGGCAGGGGGTGTCTTGGGTCAGCGTAATCGCAGCGGGGCGACGGCTGACAGGTGACTCCGTTGATTAGATGGAGAGGATGCTGCCCACCCCGGCAGTCATGCTCCCCCACCCCCACCCCACCAGCACTGTTCTGCCCCGGGTTAGTTCCCCAGTGCCTGGAGCCTCCGCCGGCTGGCCATGCCCGGTTGAAACCTGAGCGAACTGGCCAAGTGGCGGTACTCGGCGGGGACGGCCGGGTCCCGCCTTTTGGACAACCTCACAGCTACCCCAGAAGCTGGGGAAAGAGAGGCACGTGTTGTCGTGGAGTTGTGTGTGTGTGATCACCCCGAAAACTCAGTGCAAGAGCCCAGCAACCCTGAGCACAAGGCCATGTGTGTGCAGGCTCTGTCCAGACCCTGGTGAGAACAGTGTGTACCGGCGCAGGAGCTCCGTCCTGCCGCGAGGTCACAACGGGCCCCGCCCTCCACTCACCCAGCCCTCTGCCCACCGCTCTCCCCGCAGCACCTTCCTTTGCTCCCATGTGTTTGAGTCCTTAGAAGGTCAAAGGAGAGTTTTATGCGGCGCAAGCTTGGAACCTAGGTTCATACAAGCCCGGGGTGGGGAGAGGGTGCAGAAAAAGCATAAAACAAACCTAAAACCATAGGAACGTCTTTTCTCTTTGTTGAGGGAAACCCCCTCCGGTGCTGGCTGAGCGTCCCTAGAAGTATTCGCAAATCTCCAGCATTACTGCTTGGAGAAGGATAACCTTGATGCTGCAGGTTCGCGCTCCCTCTGGAAGCGGGAGGAGAAATGACTCTGGTCACCGTTCATATTTTATTGCGCGGAGCCATCGCAGCCACCATCCGTCTCCCTGCTTGAGCTCATTAGCAGGGAAGAAAAAGTCCCCAGAAACTTGGTTTCCCCCCCAAATTTCCGGCGGAGAATGTGTGCATTGTCAAAAGGCAAGGAACCCTCTGGGTCGAAGGATGGCGGGGTGGGGGGCCCGGAATAACCAACAACAACGCCATTAAGAGGCCTAACTTGCAAAGTGCGCCTGCCTTGGTGGGGGTCAGTACGCCCACCCCTACTGTTTAACCGCATCTAGTGTGGTTCTGCCCGCCGCGCATCGCTGGGGAATCAAGATTCACGGCCCACAGCCGTCGAGCGCCGCCCCCATCCTCAGCCCGAGCCGAGGGGGCGGCGGGCCGGCTTCCATGGCCAGAGCCTGTGTCAGGGCCAGGGCCTGGGCGCCGGATGGCGTCCTTGACCCTAAAGGCAGGCAGGCAGTTCCTTCTAGCGAGTAAGCTCGAGGCGCTCCCAGAGGCCTGCTGCCTTTGGGTCGCCGGGGATGCGAGGTGCTCAGGTGCCGGAGGAGGCGCCTTGTGCGCCCGGGCGCTGGGAGCACCGCGGCCCAAGGCTGTTGCGGGCCCCCAGGGGGCACCAGCTCCAATCCGACTCTGGCCCCATCGCGGTCAAGGGCCCTCGTTCTCACACGTCTCCCCACAACCCTCACCCCTAACCATCGCTTCCTTGGGAACGACTTCTCCACGCGGCGAACCAGGCTCCCTCGCAGGCCCGCCCCCAGCCCTTCCCTCGAGGTCGGAGCCGGGTCCCCAGCGCGGCCCAGCGGGAGCGGCTCCGGAAGCGAGGCCCACATCCGGGCACCGAGCCCCGCGCTCGACGGAAGTGAGCGCCCCGTGCGGCCAGCGGTGTCAGCCGCCACCTCGCGCGCCGCGGACTCGTCGGACTGACTGCGAGGGCAGCGCAGCGCCCAGGCCAAGGCCTCTTGCACTCGGAAGCCTCCAACCCGGTGTGCGGGCGCGCGGAAGTGAGAAAGGCCCGGGGAAGGCCCCCGAAGGAGGCCGCGCCCGGCCTGGGAGTGGCGCGCGCTCCCCCAGCGCCGGGTTCGCGTCCCGGGTCTCCGCGGGCAGTTGGCGTCCTCTGGGTTCAGCGCAGCCAACCTTTTCACAGAGGCCCCGAGGGGGAGTGTGAGGTCACCTCTTCTAGTGCTGCTGGGTCCAGAGACCCCCGGGCCCGCTAGCAAAGTCGCTTTTGCAAATCTCGCCGCCCTTCGCTCCGTGGGAAGCATTTAGCTTTGCAGCTCACTGAGGCTGCCCGTCAGTTTACCCTGCCCGTGTTGGGCCGGGGATGGTAGGAGCCCCAAGCCCGATTTTCTAGTTTAAGGAGGAGCTTGATCTCTAGTCGCTGGGAAGTCAGTGGGAATTAACTTTGTGGCCTTCGGGCGTTTTTGAAAACATCCATCTACGAGGCAGGAACAGCACAGGGAAACTGCTGTGTATTTCATAAAAAAGACCTTGGGAACCAATATCTGAAAGCCTTTCTCTCGCTCTCTTTTTCTCCCAGAGATTTGCTTTATAATCTCGCACATTTGAGTTGTTGGTACGTATCTCGCCACCAGTGTACTGAAACGTATCTTCCTTCAGACAGGGATTGAGAAACGGAAATACCACCACCCTCCAGCCAAACTCTTGTGAGGACTGATTGCAGGGGAATTGTGCTCCAGATGTTTCACTAGAGGCGCTGCAAGTGTGAGCAGGTAATGTGGAGAAGAGTGACATTGTTAACAGCATCTAATTAACAATGACTTCATTTGATTGGAAGGATGAAAAAGCCTTTTTAAATCAATCCAGATTCACTGGCCTAAACTCAACCAATTTATAAATATGGAGCCTGACTGAGGTCTGCTTTCTTTCAAGGATGTCATCTTAGGGGTAATAGCGTAGGTGAAGTCATTTGGTTACACTGTGGAAACTTTTATAGTGCCTTCCTTGGGAATTTAATTCAGTGCTTCTTCATTTTATTAGGAACAGACTGACTCCATCAACTGTGCTCTCCCTGTTTAGAGACAAGACTGCTTGAAGCAATTAGGTCCACCAATTAGCATAGTTTTACTGACCCCAGCAGCAGCACTGCTCCTTAGATTGTCCGTTTCTTCAAAGTCAGAGAAAAACTGGAGCACAACATGCTTCCCAGGTGTCCAGGTTGGGGAAATACACCCACAAGCAGGGTAGCGCAGCAGGAGAAAAAGCTTTCTGATAGTCCCTGTGTGTTCCAGCAACTTTGGTGGAGATTATTTTTACCTCCCATCTTCTGATTCTATATCTTTGACATAGCCTTTAAAACCTCTCTTGATTGCACTTTAATTGTCTTTTAAGAAAGTGAATTTTCATCTTCCTTTTCTGCCCAGCATGCTAAAGATGCTGTGGACAATGCTAGGGGGCCAGAGAGTTGAAATCGCTCATGGGCTCCTTGAAGCTCTGTTAGGTGACAGGCAAGGGTGTCAGGGTTTCGGGGTGGTGGTGGTGGTGGTGGCTGTGCAGGAGGCCAGAAGATAGATGTGTCACTGCTTTCCCTGGTTTTGAAGATATGCCTGGAAGGCTTTGCTGCAACCTCCTCACAGTTATCTTGATCAGCTGGTGGACACTGCTTTTAGTAGAAGGAAATGTCTGCGGCCCACAGCAGTCTGGGAAAGGAGAGATCTTTGCTCTTGTCACTGTCACAGGCAGAGGGGTAGATATATGTGTGGCTTTCTCCTTTAAAATATGAGAGTGTTCAAAAAGTTTGTAGAAAAATGGAATTAAAGGAGAATGGAATTTTTCCACAAACATTTTGAAGCTCCTTCACCTAATTCCTCTGTAAGATTTCACTAGATTAAACTGCTGACAGTTCATCAGTAGCAGCAACAATGTAATTCCCCTAGCCTTATTAAATCAATAAATACTAGATCCATGTATTGAATTAAAAATGCATCAGCATGGACAGGAATTGCAATCATACTGCTGTGGACCTAAGAATCGAAGATGCCACTCAAAAATGGACCACTTAGCATTTATTTAATCTTCTTTCTCTGTTCTTGATCTATGATGAGATATTCTGAGGTTTAAACCTTGCAGGACGACTTGTGACAGTTTTGTTGTTGTTTGCATGCTCATTTGTTTATTTCTTGAAAAAAAAATGCTCGGACTAATTCGTCACATTTAACCATGGAAATGGTACATTACATTTAATAGTACGAGTGCACCCTGACCTTGTAGTTCTTGTTTTTCATCTGGGGAATTTACTTCACCCTTACTCTTCTAAGACCGGCTCAAGTGCATACATTTCTACAGAGGCTTAAATAAACATAGATACATGTTTTGTTCTATATTAGCAAATAGAAACAGCATAATACACTCATATGTTGCTGTGCATTGACCACAAAATTTTATTTTAAAAGATCTTTTAGCACTATATGATAAGTTAAAGACTTATTTATAATTTTTGAGCAAGTTGTTCACTTACTTGTAGTTTGATTTGCTGATTGGAATTTATACCATAAGCGAGGAAACAAAAAAGTCCAGTCTTTAAATTTAACAAAGAAATTTGGAAGTTACACACATCTTAAGTAGTTTAATTCTCTGTGTGAAAACCATGTGTTACCAGGAACTGGCCAGTTAAGGTGTAGATTAGTAGGCAAATTTGCAGTAGTAAATCACTACTGAACACAGGAAATGTGTTTAATACATGGAAATTGAATGGGAAAAGTAATATTACTGTAGCCAGATATTTGCCCATACTGATTAACGATGCTAATTATTTAAAAACATTCATCCCCCATTGATGTCAGCCAGCACAAACAGTACTGAATTTGAAGATAGAGTCACTGGCCCTTGGGTTCACCACACTGTGGAAGAAAAATCTTTATTTGACGAAATAGGCAATCAACTGAAATCTATCCTCTTTAAATAAACTGATTCCTCAGTATTTTCCCAGTGTTGGTGTAAGTTGTTGTCTGTGATGTCCCCTAGGGCTCTTTCTTGCGCTCTGATTTGGTATATAAAAGCAGCCCTGAATGATGGATTACTGTGTCATTGCAGCCTGTGCAGGATTAATTTGTTTCATTGATTTCTCTTTAGGCAGATTGCCAGAATTTGCTGCTTCCCACCTTTCCTCAAGACTTCTAGCAGTAATAGACAGTAATAGCCTAAGACAAATCAGCTCCTTTTTCAAAAAGCAGAATCATGAAATCAGGGGTACTGAGATAGCTATGACAAACTTTGAAAATTTTTACTGAGAGCAATTAATAGACTATTTGCTCTTTATGGAAAAATCCCTTTGACTTGATTATTTAAAATAATTCATATTAGTAGATCTTAAGCATTTATACTGTTTGCCCCATAAACTAATTTATTCTGTTTATAAGGATACTGTTTGATTCCAGGGGCAGAAAAAGCAGCCTATGTGGGTGACCGATACTTTTTTGCTACTGGATTTCAGAATCGTACATACAACATGCCAACACGACTGAAGTCTGTCTGTCTATAGCTACATATAGAATCATTTGATCCAAAGTATTTTGAGAAACTTTGGGTAAGGATGGGCTTTTTCAGAGGAAAGAAATTAACTTGCTTAAAGAAAAAAAATTAAAATTTTAAACAAAAAAAATTTAATTGATTTATTTTCAAATTAAGAAGTAATATCCTGCTTATCTCAGGGAGTTTTAAAATGGAAAATGACACTTTTTTGTATATTTATTTAACTGCAGGTACCATTTTGTAACCTGCTCAATAGTGACTAATTTACGCATAATTAAAATTATTGAAGCAACTTAACTTGGCTTTATGATGTTATAACACATAATTTAATTAATTGTTGCTCAACTATTTGAGAGTTAGGTTTCTAAGTTTTTGAATAAAATTGGGGTGAATAGCATTTAAAAGAAATCTTTAATCATCCTTCTGGTTATTTCCATACAATCTATTATAAGAAAAGAAATTACTTTCACTTAGGATATAGACTTTTAAAAATGTTCTTACAATTGAATGACAAGATGTTTTCCAGAAAGGTTCTACCAGCGTGTACTGGTACTGTTTAAAATTTTTTTCTCTGTAGAGGCAGCATTCTAAATGATGTTACATTAGCAAAGAACATAGAATAATATTCTTTTCCTTGTGTTTGGAAAGAAGTGGTAGCATTTTGCATACACTTAGTCTCTCAGAAAGTGTTTCACCAATTGCAGATGTAAGTAGGCTGGTTATACAAATCTATTTGTTTCCCTTCTGTAGTGCTGAAAATTATATTGATTTAATGATCTCAAGTTATACTTCTTATGTAATTAGTTGTGTAGTAAAAACTAATATTGTCATGTGCTAATGTCTTCCCCTCTCTCAATTGTGCTAGGATAGCCCATGCAGCATCAGCAATTTGATGCTTTTTCTGTGCTTTTCTGAAAGGAAAAAGAAACATCTGTTTCCATTATAATGATAACAATTAAGTAGCTCTTGTGGTAGTATACAGTAAAAATATTTTGCTGAATGTTCTGTACTTTCCTGTTGCAAAATTCCAAAGATTTTATCACCACTTAATTTTCAGAGGTAAGCTTCATTTACAGGATTAGAAAGACCTTTGCTTACTTTAGGTAAATCATTGCTCTTCTTACTCATCTCTGTATAAACAAATAAATAACCCTGATGAATACATACTAGGTTTTCAGATGTGAATCTTGAATATATTTCTCTTACGCATATGTTTGGAGTAGAAATTACTAGTTCTCACTCAATAGTCTTCAGTAGGTTAATCATGCTACTAAGAGTACTGTGTATTTACAGTTAGTTTTGTTTTGTGCCCTTCTTGTACTTTTTCCACCTTACTATGATGGGAGATTGCGAATATGTGTATACATTTATACTCTGTTCTTTTCCCCCGAAAATGATAACAATTAAATAGTTGTGGTGGTAGTATACAGTAAATTATTTTATTGAATTACCTGTACTTTCCTTTTGCAAAATTGTAAAGATTTCATAAGCAGTTTTCAGTGGTGATTTCCATGTAGAGGTGCAGAAAGACCTTTCCCCACTGAGATTGCTTCAGAGACATGGTGACGCTTACCTTTTTAGCTCTGAAGGAGATTGCTTGAAACCACACATAAGGGTTTCCACTGACATCTAAAATTCAAGTGAAATGTTTTCATTTAAATGGAATTTTGGCTAAAGATGTTTTGGTCATTACTTTAAAAAAATGACTACAAATATTTCGGATTATATATGGTATACAAAGAAAAGTAAGCCACTTGGATCACAGACTCAGCCTGACAAATAAAATGTTACAAGCACCATTGCAGATCTTGCTGATTGCATTCCCTTATGGCTTCTTGAAGAGATAATCAGCATGATCCTAGGTTTAATGGTTATCCTTCTTGCTTTTTGGTCCTTTTCCCATAGTCTAGAAATTTGACCTAAGTGACTTCTCCTTTTAAATAAATGAATTAAAAAATGTTAAGGCTGAGGCTGCTGTTAAAATCCTTTTAGTCTAATCATCTTGTGACTAGACAGGTTTCTCTGCTTTACTATTGTCATCAGTGAAGTGAAGGGTGAGTCTGATGTCTTTAGCTATCAAAAAAAATTACATCTTGTTTTCGATATGAAACAAAACGACATCAGAGTCAGAGATGGTGAGTGATTTACTCAGGACTCTATAGTAAGTCACAGACAAGGAAGGAAGGAAACTCTGTTCTTTGGGCTTCCATTGAGGAACTCTTTAAAAAATTAATTGGGAGTT